TTAAGGAAATCAAGTTCGAAGAGAACTCCTGACAGAACAAGTAGATTTTTGAATGTATTGAAAAACTCAAGAAGGATCACGTTAATACTACTACGTTGTAACTTGAAGCTTATGTACGTGATTATGATGAGTCTATCGAGGCATTAATTTAACTAATGAGCACTTGAGACGTAAATGAAATGGGTTTTTGCTTTTTAGATTTTGTCAAATCGTTTAAATATGAAGTAAATGAGTGATCCACAATGCTGAATTATTGACGAGCTTTGCCACAGTATTGTGTTCGTAATACTTGAGTGCTGCAATACAACACTCCTTTATCGCTGTATATGACAAAGTTCAATCGTATTAATGCATCCGATGTTTATTGTTGTGCATAATTTTTCAGAAGAAAAACACTAACAGAACTGATAATAAGAAACCAAACATATCTAATCAATTTTAGATCGAATTACGATTAATTTGATGGAGACTCACTGAAATACCTGTCAAGAAAAAAGTGATCAAATTTCTTTCCATGTTAATAGTGTTTTGTCTGAAGAAAATGAACTAATTACACATACTAGTAATCGCGTTATGGTTCTATTCGATTGCATGACACATGACAATAACTGAGAGTATAGGCATCATAGTTTCCAGAGAATTATCGTCAGCACGAAAAAATTTTTGACTACCGGTTGTAAGGTACCATTGAATAATGACTTTATAGCTGTTGGTCGGTAGTAAACTGATTTCATATCACTGGTTTAAGGTTCTTGAAACGACAAATGGAAAGGTATTAGCAGTTCTTGCACAATATAGTATGATGTCAATTATATATTCTAGTTCATATGATTCAGTCTAGAACTAATTATCTTTGCTATGAATTCGGTATTTCGATAGTTTGTAAAATATGTTTGTTACTTATTGAACCAAGAATCAGATAATGCTATAAAGTTTTTAGAAAATGTAATTCATACCTGATTAAAATATTTTTAGATGAAGATAAATAAATATTTCAACAAAACAAATTGAATACTGTCTATATGAAACTTATTATTTTCTCAAAAAATATTAAGAAAGATTAATTTACTTTTTTTTAATTTTAAGTAGAAACCAATATTATAGTTTTTTAAATATTTATTTAAGAGTATGTTATTTGGTAATATTATCTTTGTATAACAGAAAAAAACAAAACAAATAATTTTTGTAATAGCATATACTTCTACTAATCTTCTTTTTGTGTTTATTGAAGACATGTATGTTCGAAACTTTACCAAAAGATAAATCAGAATAAACTTAATAAACAAAATACGAAACAAACAACTTTGTATATTCTAACCAAAGCTTGAAATTTTGATGATAGAACATTCAGAAAAATAGTCAAAAACATTTCGTTTCATACAAAAACAACATTTTCTGAATTTAGAACACCATTTCCGAATAGCATTAAAATATTAAAAGTATAGCATAATGCTCACTAACCGATATATAACAACAAATATTTCATATTATTACTACGGGGTACGTCTTTTCAGTGTAAAACTTACAATTAACGTTAGGATTTGTACTTCTTTTTAATTGTAAAAAGGTAAAACCATGAAACATCTAATAGAGTAAATCGAAATTATCCAAGAACATGTTTCTTCCACAACATAAAGATTATTAAAACATTAATAAAAAACTTAAACAAATTTTCATGTATTTTTATACGAATGACAAATGAATTTTCGAAGGTACATATAGATTTTTCTCTATCTGTAAATGATCTATGTTATAGATCTCTCATTTCTCTGTTGAATATTTCTCAAATTCCATTATCTAGATCATATAATCAAAAACGTTCCATAGATCAAATATCTTGGTTTTAATATTACAAATAATTTGTATCTTATCATAACACAAAGTCAGTCGAGAAAAGATGACGAATTGAAAACACTTGAAGAAATGACTAATAATAGTAATGATTTTCCATTGATTGCAAATATATTCCAAAAAAGGTATTTTTTTTTGGTGCGCTTAACGGAAAAAATTGTAATAGAGATCCGAAAAATCTGTACGATCAATTTGAAGCTATTCGTGAATATCGACAACGATTTATCGATCTCTTCAGTAGTGATACTCAATCATATGAAATTAAAGAATCGGTACTCAGTGAATTAACAAAAAATCTCGATGAAAATGATCTATTGACCAGCCAATGTAAAGGATTGGAAGATTCGAAAAGCAAATATAAGAGATTGCAAGAAAAAAATTATGAATTGAAAAACAAACAATATATGTGCATCATATTGTAAATTGTCATTGCAGTGTTAGCAATGTTCTTTTTCTTTTAAATGATTGGATGCAATGTACAACTGACAAAATAATCAAGATACAAATTAATCTGTACATGTGAAACAACGTAGTCTTTTTGCTTTTGTTTTCCTATATTCAACATAAAAGAAAATGCAGAATATTAGTCTATCTATGCAATTTTTTTAAAATATATTTGAAAAATCACAATGATTGTTCCTTATATTGTGGATCATGTTTCAAAACGAAAAACTTTGACATTCTGTTGAGTATCAGAAAAATTGAAATGACATTGAACAAGTTTTCAAGCTTACAGATCGTCATTCAACTATAAGTCGATATAAATGAACATTGATCATATTCTGTAGTCAACGTTATGAAAAAACAACATTAAAAGAAGTATTCAATGATTCATGTCATACATCTCGACAAAAGCATATTGTAGCAAGTGACAATACAATTGAACCGAATAGTACACAGATGAAAATCAATATTATTGAATTACGCGATTTACTCAAACGAATAGAAAACAATGGAAATCATGATGACATTGAATATGACATATGTACATCTATTCTGTTTTTATATTTCACTTGATATCGGTCTTCAAGAGCAAGATGTTCATATATAAAATAATTTAGTTCAATATTTTGGTGAAACATATTGGTTATATTTTTGTATGATTATCATGAAATGTGGGTTGAAAAACGATGACGAATGTAAGATATGACATGATGATCTAATACAAAATGTTAATTTTGATCAATATGAAAAATAACTTGACAAAAATATTTTCTTTTATGGTATTACCAATCCAAACGATTGGTCAAATGGAAGTTCTGTAATAGTAACACCATGCGAAAATGTTTATCACTATCGTGAATGTATTTTAAAGAAAATTTTCGATATTGAAAATAGTTCTCAATTTCCACGATCTATTCATTGGAATGTTGAAAATTGCCTTTCGACAATATATTCGATGGTAATCTAAATAGAACAGTAGAACTATCAAATGATAATCAATGTAGTATGATAGAAGAAACCAAGGATACGAAAAAGATCCTACAAATACAATTGATGTAATTAAGATGTGTGAAGCTGATGAAGAGACAAATTTTTCTAATCGTTGTCCATCACAAAATGCGACTTCTCTTCAATACTAAAACTTCATTAGATGATAACTTGTGGACTTAGTCCGACTTAATAAGACCTATTCTAGTCATTGCTTTAACTTTAATCTATAGAGTAGTCGAACTGTATAAGAGTTTGACGCGTCCCACACTTTATGACAGGAATATTTCACTATTGTATTGCAATACAAGCGAAGAACATTTTCCACAATGTCCGTTAGTCGACTAACAAAACTATGCTGACGCATTGTCTTGAACCACACGAATGGTTGTCGAGCATATATAAAAATTCATGACACTTAGTGCAAAAGTTCTTTTACGTATATTGGAGCTCATGCTTTGGGTATAGTTAGGGCATTGTAATTCACTCATAGTACCCAAAACGACATCAACACTCACATTCATCATTAATAGATTAACTATTTGATCATACACACATATTTTCAGTTGATTCGTAGCTATCAATTCTACATCAAGTGTCGGATGATCGAATTCTTTTCGTCCATCAACTTCTAGTGATGACCAAAACCAAGTCTTCGTGCAAATACCTGCTATTGGATGATACACTAAATATCGAGAAGTTTTTCGAAGATATTTTTTTCTTTCTATTTTCCAAACATATTTTTCTTAGTCGAATAAGCATATCTGATCATTAGATTCAAGACAACTAATTAAAATTTCTTTAGTACCCACACGTAAAAACGAATGACTAGGTTTTTTATTCGTCATCTCCATGTGGATCATACATTCCCTTCTATCAACAGTCATACTTACGTGAACGGATGCAGATATACTGTATTCTATTTTTGCACAATCACAAGACATGCGAAGATAATTTATCGATGCAAAGTGACCCTTTGGTCCTATCTGCAATACTACAGAAGAGTTTCCAGCATTGGTTTGTTTATTCATTGGAGATTTTTCATCTTCCTGTATTCGTAATGATCCTTGTTGCTTAGTTGATTTACCAAAAAAAAAATATCGATCTAAATTATCGATTAATATTTTGAAAATTGCATGCTTGAGATGATTGAATTATTGTCATTCGTGTGTGATACGATTACTTTCGAAGACGTTGGCAAAAAAACTCACCAATATGTGTTGTCAATAATGGAATCATTGCCACAGATCAGATTGTTGTATGACATGATCGAAAAACTTGCAAACAAAATATTGTGATCTAAGAGCATACAAAGTCATTTTTATTACCTAGCTAATTAATCTTAAAATGTATTTAATAAATATTACGAATGAATAGCGCTAGAATAGTGATATCGATAAATATCAATTCATATCCGAAGAGGGTGTGAGTGTGGGTACGCATGGAAATAAAACATGAATTATACGTCCACACCCTCGATCGTGTATAAATGATCAAATAGTTGCACAAAAAAAAGTGAAGCAATATCAAAGATAATCGTTTGCAAATTGTATTATGATTATTTTCGTTGTTCTCTAGCATTGTCTCTACAAAGTAATTAGGATAATATATTGACAGACATCGATCAATAATTTCTAACTATGTAAATCATGCGCTTGTTTGAAAAGATAAATATTAAGTTCAAAATTGTTCATTGAAAAGAAATGAAATTATGAACATTATTCTATTTTCTTTTTGGGATGAAGTCGTTCGTCATTTTTCCAATCTTGATATCGAAATATTGATATAAACCATCCGAGAATATTCAATAGGAAGACAATCCAATGAAGAAAATTTAACTTGTATACATTATGCTTGGAAGCTTCTTGAATTAACTTATTGTCTAATGGTAATACACCTGTAAAAACAGTATAAAGTACACCAAACAATTGTAAAGCTGTTACAATATCGATTAAATTACGTCTTGTTGTAGATTTTCTCGTAAATATTTGAAATAAATCGCGAACGGCAGTAATAATAGATAGTGGTATGATAATAGTTGAAACTAATTGCCACCATTTCCATATTGGTGCTTGACCTTTGAATATTAAATAGTCACGATAAAGGTCTAACTTATTTTCTTGAAGAACATAAGTCGACAAACTTAACTCGATCGTTTGAACAGTTAAAAAATATGTACCAAATAGTAGGCCCATAATCAATTGTGATATTGAAAATGGCTCTTTGTATAATTTAGCATCATCGTACTTTTCAGATTTTGTCGTTGACATCTTTTGAGAAGAAAAAAAATATCTAAATATTAAAACAATCATTTATGGAAATAAATCTGAATTTATTGTATAATAGTAAAACTCTGATTATGACTTCATTCAATTATATGAAGCTAAAACAAATAATATGTCTGAAGAACTATGAAATGAAAATAAATTCATTAGATTTCACTTCGTTACAATCTCACAAGTACATTTTTTGCTCTAAAATATTCTATGTAATAGTGATAAACAAATTTGGAATATTAAGACTTTTCAAAAAAGAAACTTGCATATAAATTCTTTTGAAATGATTTCATTCTTTGTGTGTTGTAGTTTCTTTTTATTATCAACATAATGTACTAGTGCTTGATAGATAGATAATTTTTTTTTTGATAAAGTTTATCTGTAAGAAGTCCACTGATATAAGAGTAAAGTGTCGATGAAAGAATAATGTTACGATGTGACTGATTCAAAAACGAAACAATACAAATCTTTTTTTCATACAGAAAAAAAAGTTGGATTACTCTTTTATAATTAGGTTGTGATATCATCATGGAATGGAGTTGCCAGAACTTACTTTATGATAATGACTTTCGTGATACTGTAGAAATGCAGAGAAAACACAGTAAGAGAGGGCACCAAATAAAACAGTGAAATAGAATAAAAAATAAATAAATTTGCATGAATCTCAACTAAATGTGATACCTTTTCTTTCGATCGAAAAGTATACGGCTCGTACTAAATATGTTGCTGTTTACTCAGTTGATGTTTTTTTCACGTTCGCTTCGACGTTGATGGTACTGTACGTGTTTTCGATTTGAGCGCGTGGGTACGTTGCGAGAAAACGAAAGAAATATAGGTTTTTTTCTTTTCTGCTCACTCACTACCTAACAAATAGTCGAGTGTATACATGATAAATGTGACGAAAACACATCATAATTGCTATCAAACGCAAGGAGGGAACAATGCATCATAGACAAAAGAGAGACGCCTACAACACAAGAAAGAATACACCTGAAGACCGGAGAGTGCCTGTTCATTTAAAGACACTATCTGAATTTCTCTTATATGGAATTGATAAAAGGAGTGTAAGCAATTATCCCTAAAGTGACTAAAGATGACAGTTGAATATCATCCTCTTCTTTGTATCTTTTTCATCTGTTTTTGACACACCATATATCGAGCTTTGAATGTATTATTTCAAAGTTCATATGAAGATTATATTTAGTTTTGTATCCAATTGAAACTAAAACACCACTGAAAAGAGTAGCTTTAAATAAATCGGCGTTTGAATTGCAATATCTGTAGTTTGCGGGCTACTACGTCCAACAATATCTGTACACTGCATCTTAGATGGAGAGCGAAGCAAGCAAACGGAAAAGACAAAAATTTCTATGCTATGTCCAGTTATGCCAAATGTAATAGATGGTCAACGACGTAAGGCTAAATAGGAAGTTGAAGAGTCAAGCAATTTCGGTGAAAATAAAGGGAGTACTTACGATGGATACTGTTTGTTGTACGTTTAACCCTTTCGAGTCGATGTGACCCACCAGTGAGTCACAGTAAAGGATGGATTGAAATCTCATTTGCCGCAGAAAAGATTGAATATCACTGCCGTACTTTGACCAAAGGGCTGCTTCTTTTACTACTGATAAAGGAATGTTCATAGCTCATATTCATAGGAAAAACGATGATAAAAGCTGTTTTGAACTATTACAGTTGCCATAAATAAAGAAATGAGACCGTTCACGAATTATGAAAACGAATATTCATGTCGCCTCGAATGGGTTAATCCATAATGGTCTAACTTTTGGGTGTGGGTGTGTGGATAAGGTAGGAGAGAAGATTCACAGTCAAACCCTATCCACATCCAACCCACACTCACACCCTCGGTTTACAAAACATGTACCCATTAATATCAATGGATAATATTGATGCTATTCATATTTATGATCAATCGGATAATATGCAAAATCGAATGGAATCGTTTTTAATTAGTTGTGTATGTCATTGAAGAAAGAATTTAATACACACAATCTGCTTTTGTTTTTGTTTTTTTTATTTAGGTAAATTGAGTGATCATGACGTATTGACAGCTATTACATTTGTTACAAAATATTATCCAGAAGATAATCAATTTATGAATAAATTTTCTCTTTCACTTGCTAATCGATTAAGACGTATTAATGTTCATCAAGTAAATATGTCCTTTTTCGTATAAAGAAATTTTTTTATTTTGAAAATATTTTTGTTTTAGATTATTCCTATGTTAGAAGAATTAAAAATCTTCTTATTATACAATACAATAAATCTATCGTATATATAATCGTCTTTTAGCATTAGCTAAAGGTCATTACTTAAATTAAGTGAATCATTATTATTTACATTAGATAAATTAAAAGATTGTCTTTTAGTGTATACTATGTTATATACCATATCGTAAATACTGGACAGTTTTTAGCGGTAAACCGCGGTATTTATCAAAACCGGCGGTTTATCGCAATAAATTACAGTAATGGGAGCCGGTAACCGGACCGGTAAAACCGCGGTAAACCGGAGATTTTTCTGAGCATTTTTATGACATGGGAAGATAGAAGAAAAAAAACGTTTAAAATAGCCAAATCGATGATTTAAAGCAATGAAATGTCAAAGTTTATTGGCGATCCGGTAAACCGCGGTAAATCTTAGTGACGAAAGCCGGTAACCGGACCGGTAAAACCGCGGTTAACCGCCGATTTTTATCCGGTTTGTATCACATGGGATGTATATGATAAACCATTTTTCGAACAATTAATTCGAGATGCATATGAACCAATCAATTATATTAACGATCCATCTATAGTATGTATATTTTATTATCGAAAATTATTGTTAATTCTAATACAACTATATGATGCTATCGTTTTTTCGGTTTTAATACAAAGAAAACAATCGAAGTAAAAGTTAGATTTCATATCAGTGTTGCGATATTTTGCGTATTGTTCTAGTATGTTCGAGGACTTTAATCTTAATCTTAACATATATCTCGATGTTCAATTTGAATCAAACGAAAAGCATTTTGGAATCAGAAAAAAGTGGAAACAACTGATCTTACATAAGTCTGATTGAATGTTGAATAAGGAGAAAAAAAGATAGTTCGACCATGTTTAAAGCTCTCTTTCTTCCAAGATTTTGTCTTTCTATAAAAATAACTAAATGTGATATGCACTATTTACTCATTTAATTCATTATTTTCGCATAAAGTTTCTTCTTTCTTCCCTTTTTTTTCTGTTCGTTTTTAACATTTTCTTTCTTTTCTCTTCTATCCACATCTACACTTTTCGATGTTTTTGTTTTCCATTTCTTTATCAGTTCGTATATGTACATGCTATGGATGAAGTTGGCATATGTCCAGTAGAAGTCAAATGATTCTTTTATCTAGAATAATCTAGAAATACTTTATCCAGACAAAATGAGCATTGTTATTTTAACTAAGGGAGTGTTTATTTCTTCTACAACATATATATATATGGGGACGATCAGTCTGGCCGGATATCCCATCAATATTTTTCTTATTGTAAGAATAAAACATACTATTATTCGGGTCATATGAGAGAGGATACCAGATAATCCTGGATTGGCTCGAACAATACCATGTTTTATCCTTACAATAGTAGAGAACAGCTACCTATTTATCGTGTGGTCTGGTAGCTTTTCTCTACCATTGTAAGGATAAAACACGGTATTGTTCGGGCCAACCTAGAGTTATCTAGTATTCTCTCTCATATGATCCGAATAATAGTATGTTTTATCCTTACAATAAGAAAAATATTGATGGGGTATCCGGCCAGATTGATCATCCCCATATATATATATTTATATATACGCATACTTTTCTATCTACATATTGAAACTGAAAATATGAGACACAATAAATATGGAAACTGTCCGTAATGTAACAGCACAAGTACGCCTAATAAATTCTTATATTTTAAAAATTATATTTTGTCAATTTAGGTTCAATCATTAGTAGCAATGGAAAGTCAGTTACACGTTGAAGCCAACGAAACCGATCGACAACTCGATGATGCACAACAATCAAATAATGAAGAATTAACCGTGTAGCTTGAAAACGAAAAAGAAGTTTTACAACGTTTTCAAGAGCGAGCAGTATGAGGTACAAATCTAGCTGCAAATGATCTGATGGCACAAAAATTAATGCAAGGTAAATTAAATAACATTCCATCATTTATAATTTAACTTATCTTTACGTCCTATTTTAGGTCGTTACTTTTATAATTCAGATGATGAAGCTTAAGATATTGAAGCTGCAGATGATGAAAAATAATATGATGAAGAAAAACATGATGAAGATGATGCTAATAGTATGAAATTAACACGTGGTACTCAAGGTCATCCAATGATGGTGATACAATCAGAAGAATCAATGGCTAATAGGGTGTGAGTGTAGGTATTGTTTAGTATAAGATGAATCTACACTCCCACACCCACCAACACATTCACATCCACTCACACCCATACTCACACCCTTCGTATCGTAGTCGAGTGTAGCTTACATTGAATCACGAAATGTGACATATTTATGTTCGGCATATAGAAGACAATCTTTGATTGAGGTGTTGTCGAATAGGTGACCAATTTTTATAAAAATGATTATTTGATAGTGTTTTGATAAAACTCCAAAGACTTCAAATGAAATATCTATAGATTGATTAAAAAAATGTTAGTGTTAGTCTTCATCGCAGTATACAAATTACGGAAGAAACAAAGATTTAAATCAACAATACGAATGAAAACAAAAATTTCAATTAGTCTTGTGATATTGATGAATATTATGTGTCTTGTATTTGAATATTGAAATATTGATCACATTCTTCTAATTCAATTTCTGTCATCGTTTGATTCTCTACCAAATATGAAGGTTTAATATGATTAATTCTTTTCACTTTGAATACAGTATACGGCATAATCAAGATTTCACCTTCATTTGCATACTGAGAGGAATTTTCAATATGCAAAGCAGTGCGTCGATGTTTAATATTGTAAACACACATAACCCACAATTTAATAAATGTTCCGTCCATTTTGGTGCGTACAGCTGCTCTCGTCGGTTCTTGTGTGCATGCTTTTTGCAATAAAAATAATTCAGCAAGTTTTCGATCAATCGATGATGATAAAAATGATTTTGTCATTAATGAACAATTAGTTTGATACTTTCTTAAATCATCATAATTGATTTGCATAACTCGATAGGAAGAACCAGTAAATGCTATTTCATTCAATTTTGGATGATGCCAAAGTAATGCTATTATATATCTTCGTTCATTTTGATATCGACTAGCACCACATGCTATTTCAGTATTGAGAACTTTATAGAAATCAGTCTCAGCTGTATAAGCTTTTAAAATCCATCGTGGATCTTGTTCTTCAGTCGCTTTTTTGAAAAACCGTTTGATAGTGTCAATTCCATCGAATTTAGCTAATCCTTTGTTAATATAATTCCTTTCAATTTTTTCGAACATTTTTCCAACAGAGGTAAATCCACTAGTATTGTCATAGAGAGACTTAATAATATGTCTCTCTTCTGCGGCTGTTTCTAAAACATCATCATTAATCGATTCCCATTCAATAGCACCAGTATTTGACACCAGTCGATTTGTATTTGGTACACGGAAGAAAAGTTCTTTAATTTCGTCATTTAATGCTTCATCAAATGGTAAGCAATTATGTTTATTCGGTAGTGCTCTATCTGCTCCAGCTCGTAATAATAATTTAACAATTTCTTGATGACCATGATAACATGCAGCATGTAAAGCTGTACTACCATTTGGTTCTATTCTGTCTATCTCATCAAGTGTTATCGTCTTAAGTAACTCTTTAACTTCCTCAATATTGTTACCACGACATGCTAAATAAAATTTACTACACTTGCTGAATGATGCCACTATTTCCGTTGATATTGTGGTTGCCATTTCTTCTATTGATATTGTTGTTATTGCCCCAGATTCCATTGTTGTTATTGCTGTTATTTCTGATTCTATGCCTGTCATTGTTGACATCGTCTCCGCTTCGATTGTTCTTGTCGCTGTCAGTATGGGCATTATTACTACTGAGGTCACCTCATTTGTTGTTGTTGCTGTTTCTGATGATGATTTTGATTTTTGTTGGGTATCGTTCACTGTCGGTAATTTATCTGGAGGAAGTCGCTCTGGGTGATCCGGACAGGAACGTGAAGCAAGGTATACATTCCCACGACGATTAAATGCATAACGTGTTAACATATTAATTATGTTTCCCATATTGAGTCAACCAATAAGCAGTTGATATCTTCCACGGATAACCAATATTTGGCGCTTCTGATTGACTAGAACTGGAGTATATGGAGATTTCTCTAATTTAGATATTGGAAAATTTTTTCTTTGTGCTGTTCGATTTCAAGTCATGCCAGGAGTTTATTCTGAAAATTCCAGTTCTGTATTCGACCCGAGAAAGATTTCGGAAATTTTGTAGTGAACGAAAAAGTGTTTAGAGATAGCAGGAAAAAGTTCTAATTAATTATGTAATCTATCTGATCTTTTTTCTCTTCATGGCAGATAGAGATTGCCGGGGCCACGTCTTTGGTCCCAGTCTCGTATTGACACCGTCGCATTTCGCACCGTTTCCCATCTGAATCTACAGTATGGCTCCGAGAATCTTTATCTGTGGTCAGTAATAGAAGATCTTTTTATCGCTAAAGTTTTCGGATCCAGCCCTTTATTTAGGAACAACTAGACTTACGTATAATTGTGCTAAATTAGTTTTGTTTACAGTAGTCAACCAATGAGATTGAATCTAAATGAAATTAACCTTAACACCTTGAAAGTTGTTTCATAGATCGGCCCAACCAAACAATAAAAAGCACACGATGGGTACGACAAGCGCTTGAAAATGTGAAATATGTATCTTTTCATCTATTCTATTTTGATTTCAAGCCCTTCGGTAGCCACCGGATTTCGAGCGCTCGAAAATTGTTCTATCAGAGACCCATGTTCGACTCTTCAAGGATTTTTCGATCTGTTGATATTTATCGAAGTTTCGAGTAATCGAGCGAAACAAAGATATCGGAAGAACAGTATTGAGCGCTCTAGTAGAAACAAGCCGAGCGTAAAAACAGTTTCAAGTGATTAAGTTAATTTTGAGTTTGTGAGGGTATGAGTGTCAGTGGGTATCCGTGTGCGTGTGAATGATAGAAAATTCATACCCTCCCATACTCACATTCATGGTGTTTGAAGAGAGTTCCAAAGAATCGTAGGGAACTCTGAGATGTCCTTGGAATTCTGAAGAACTACAGGGAATCCTTGGGATCATCGGAGTTCACGATTTCAGGATTTCATAAGTTGTCCCTTGGATAGACCAAAATAAAAGTTGTTACTAACAGAAACTCAATAATCTGTATGAATTTCGCATGGTACATTTTCGTAAAACTGAAGTAATAGATTGTTTCTGGAAAGGACCAGTGACTTGAACCCATTCGATTGTATGCTAATAACTAGAGGAACTAGTTCGAATATTCGATGAAATAAAGTGTTGAATCAACTTCTATCATGTTTTTTTCTTCGAAATCTCATTACTTTTGGTATGCTATGTAGCTCAGTTTTTGAGGTTTGAAATACTCTCTCCAATCCTCAAAAATCTTATAGTAAGATGCTCATCAAAGTCAAATAATGAAAATCAGTCATACCGAGTCGATGTCACTAATGATTTCTTCCGACTTGATCGAATGTTGTGTAAGTCGGACGAATGAGTTTTTTATGAAATAACTCTTTTCTTATCTGTATATCATGGCAACATTTCGGTCTCTTTTTGCCTCTTGTTCGTTTTCGCTTTTCTTTTGAATACTTTTTATCTACGCACTCTATTTGGAAGAACTACACGTGGTGATAATGAAATATTTAAGATAAAGAGCACAACACCATTAGACGTCAACTAAATAAATATATTTTCACGAAGAAATTCGGCTCATAGAAAATGTATATGCCAATATTTATTTCTATACAATGCAAAGTAGTTGAAAGGGTGTGGGTGTGGGTGGTGTGGATGTGGCTGTGAGTGGTGTGGATGTGGCTGTGAGTGGTGTGGATGTGGCTGTGGGTGTGAGTGTGAGTGTGAGTGGATGTGGGTATTATTTTCAACTTCCCACTGACACCTACACCCACATCCACACAGTGGATAGAAACAAGGGGTCAGGATCATTTTCCAGCTGCCAAATATCTTTTGAGTCAAGACTATGTGCATTATGTAGGCTCTAATGAGCTATGAATACCCTGAAAAAAAGTTTGTGCTTCTAGCTTATTTCTGTTGAGATATTTGATTTGTACGGCAAATTTTAGCACAACGTCGTGGACCCTCAGGTTTATCTAAAAAATTAGCTTTCGAATCTTGACTTGAAACTTTGTGTAGAGAGAGGTCTCAATAAGACTAGTTTATTTTTAAAGTTTCAGATTTTTGGGTTCCTTCTATCTTGAGATGGAAGTGTGAAAAAAATACTCTTTTTCACATTGCTTATAGCACAAAATGTTAAATGTTCATATTTAAGGATAACAGCAACCAAGAAATTTGAAACTCTCAGAATAAACTAGTCTAGTTGAGACCTTTCTCTGCACAAAGTTTCAAGTCGAAATTCGAAAGTTGATTTTTCTGGTGAGCCTAAGGAGGACCAGAACGCTGTACGAAAAAATGTCGTAAAAATCAAATATCTCAACAAGGGTTCAATGATGTATCTTTGCGCATCCACTGAAGCTGGATGATGACATATTCTATCAAATGATAAATTAAAACTTGAATTTAAACTCCGGCAAAATCCAGCAAACGAACTGCTTTATGGGCCAATGACTATTTTTCACTATACTGATGGTAAGTTTTTGATCTTATTATAGCCTAAATAACTTCAAGAAGTCTGAACGGTCTGTAATATATAGTAAATACTTAACAGTATGTAACTATATAATAACTAAAGAATATATCCAGATCATCAATTAAAAATGTAGAGTTTACTTATATAATCCTATCACTAATATTCACCTATTTTATGTACTTTATGACACCTGGTATTTAATACATACTCGCTATAGAGCGGCATTCAAGATACACTTAAATGTAGGGTCATATAGTACTAATGCTAGCTACGATATGAGTTCGGATCTCAGGGGTGTGTGAGTGGGTGTGGGTGCGGGGTGTGGATGTATGCGTTGGTTAGGTAATTCCACACCTACGCCCACACTCTTAAGAATAACAGGCGTCAGACTTTCTAGTTTTTATGAAAAATTGATCAAGTTATACTTTTAAAAGATAATCAACATCATTGTTTGTGAGTTGATTAACATATATATATAATAGTGCATAAAATCTGCCATAGATACCATGGATATGTAAAATAGACTTATTTGCCGATTCAATGATTATAATAATAAGAGTATTAAATTAAATTATCAGTAATTTAAATTTGAAATAAATAAAATGTATTTTTTTTACAATTCATATTTCAGAATAAATATAAATTATTTACTTTTCATGATTTAATAAATCGATTGAAAACAGATCGACCTATTCTCTTAACGAAGAAGACAAGTTCAATCTGTTATTTTCAACTCTTCCTTCAGCAATCAATTTCGTAGAAAATTAAAGAACAATAGAGTATAAGGTGAACCAAAAGCAGAAGAGAAACAAAAAAAGACTATCTTCAATCATACATCATTCGATAGAGTCCATCGAGCTGATCAAGAATATCACCTTCTTATCTACCCAAGTGCAAAAATCTGACGAAGATTGTATAAGATTGTACAAGCTCTTATCGACAATTGGATGCCGTAAAATTCATACTATATGATCTTACGAAACCATACAAATATCTTATTTTAAGATTTAGTAGCTGTAAACTAGAAAATAAGTTATAGAGTTTAGTTAAAGATATTTTAGGAATGCCCATATGAATTCATCGATGAATTTTAAATTCTTTGAAAATAAGGTATTTGAAACATTCAGAATAAGAAATTTGATTTTCTAATTAGAAAATCGCAAGTGAATTCATATAGGCATTCCTAGAATTTCGGGTTCTATTCAGCAATTCGAGTATTTTTTAAAGACTCGAAAATCGAATTTTATTTTCATATATGAACGTAAAATTCATATAATAACAAACAAATAATTTTAATTGAAATTGAAATAATATTATAAATAATTAAGTCATATAAATGCACTAAATAATATGAATAAATAATTTGAATTTAAGTTGAATAATATTTTAAACACTTAATTCATAAAAATGCATCAAATAAAATGAATAATAAATTTAAATTGACACTTAAATGATATTTGACATATTTAATGCATGTAAGTGCACCAAATAACACGAGTAAATAATTTAAATAATAGTATAAACATTTAATTCATCTAAATATACCAAATAACATGAATAAATAGTTTGAATTTAAATTGAACAATATTTTAAACATTTAATTCACATAAATGCATCAAAATAACATAAATAAATAATTAAATTTGAATTTAAATAATATTATAGACATGCAATTCATAAAAATACATCAAATAACAAATAAATAATTTTAATCTAAATACGTACTAAATGAACTGACTTACAGAGCAACTTTAAAAATACAAGTTATCAACTCACTAGTTCGCTGCTAAAGAATATAGTGAATGAAAAACATTATCGGCCGACTTATATACGTGAATTAACAATGGCTCGAGAGCGATCATTGTTCAGATGATTTTTTCAAATTAGCATTGATCTTCGAGTTTTATTAAAATCAATGTTGATGTTTTACTTTGTTGAAAATGATTTCTTTCGAAAATCAAATTCAATCTCTGCAAATTGGAAAATCAAGCATTTTTGAAGTACTAAAAATTTGTTGAATGAACCATACAACCTCAAAAATACTTCAGCTTATTTAAAATCGATTTTCCAAATAGTAGAGTTTAAAAGAAATTTACAGTGTATGCTTCTTACAGTAAAATGCTAGTGTAAATATTACAATTCTTACTACAAGATTCTTGCAAAACCTGACGATCCGAATTTTATAAGATTTTGTAAGATCATACTTTTAGGTTTTTCTAATGCTATTAATCTCTATAATGATAGTTGTATGTATTTTAAATGAATATTCAATAGATTGAAAACAGTCTAATTTAAACACCACGTTGTTTCGAATTAAAAAGGATTTTTTTGTATAGCACTTCCAATCTATAACTTTTCAATGTAGAGGACTCGTAATCCAATCATGGT